TATCCAACGGCTGTGAACATTTTAAACAAACACGAATCTCATAAGTGTCCAGTTTATGGGTATTACACAGAAACACACCACAGGAACATGAATCAAATATGTACTTTATTCATTTACAATAAATTCATAATGTACATCATTCTGATTGGAGCTAAGGGCATACAACTGTCTAACAAAATACTCGATAATTCATTAGTTGCATCATAAAAATGTTTTAAAAAATCTCTTATCAAAATTGTCATTTCCTAGTCTTCCTTAAATATAATATCAATTCGCATTTTTGCATTATTAAAATCACTAAGAATTTATTTATGAGAAATACAACTTTCTAACATATTATAGGTAGAATTTCATCTATGTTTAACATCTAATATACATTTTTTATATTTTAAACTATAATTTTGACATAAATATTTAAATTATTGTTTTCTTGCTCTAGAACTTTTAATATAATACAATTTATAATTTTAGAAATATGAGTGGAAATAATATTTAAAGCATCCTAAGTACATATTTTTAAGATGTGGCATACACATCTGATATGAAATAATTTACCATTATAACATGGTTTTAAATGAGATTTTAAAATATTTATTGTTGAATCATTATTACTAGCATTATCAAAACTAATTGAAAATAATTTATTGTCAATTCCATAAGCATGTAAAGTATTTAAAATACTTGCGACAATATCTGGGCTAGTATGTGGCCATTTAAGACTTGTAAAACTTAAAATTATTTTATTTAAAAGTTAGCTTTCATCAATAAAATGATCGATAACACAAATACAACTTATGTTAAATTTAGAAGTCCAAATACCAGAAGCAATTGCAACTTTAGAATTAAAATTTGATAACATATAAATTAAATTTTTGTTTATATGAATAAAAAATTTTAAAGCATATGATCTAATAGTATTCCTATAAACCTTTTTAAATTGTGGATTTACATAATTACGTAACCATTTTTCAAGTTTGGTTTCCTCAGCTAACAAAAATGGTTGTTTAGCATTACAATGTATTTTTTCTAATCCTTGCCCCATTTTTTCTTGAGAATATCTAAAAGTACCAACCCCCCTAATTTGTGTTTGTGTTGTTTCTCTCCCTTCTTCTTCTTCTTTCTCATGGGTGAGCAAATGTCTACCCAAATGGCCAATACCACCCTTGCTACAATAACTAAAGTCTTTCCTACATTTTTGGCAAACAGCTCTTGATATGGCACGATTCGGGCACTCCTAGCTGGCTGTTGACTGGCTCCTTGTTGGCAACAGACGACACCTGAGAAGATGAAGAAGAAGGATTCCCGGGGATTTGCCCGGCGGGAATACTCCGAAGCTTAAGTTAGAACGCTGGGGAGAAAGAAAAGAGTATAAGAAGATAAGAGTGTAGGTCGCGCTTTATCACTATGCTCGAGAGGTTAGCTCGCGAGCAAGTAAGGACTCAAGTTGAGAGTATAAGAGTGTGTAAGTGTCAAAAGTATCTGAAGACCCCCCCTTCCCATCGCCTAGAGGGCTTTTATTGGGGTGTTCTTGTCAAATCAGGCGTAACCGCCACTGGGCTCCTGTCGCAGTCGTTACCTACTA